CTCTTCCAGGCCAGCTCTCTGCTGTGGCCCGGGAGTGCAGTGGAGGATGGCCCAAGTGCTTGGGCCCCGCACTGCATGGAGACAGAGAGCACTGCTCTGCTTGGATCAGCGTGGTGCACCAGCTGCAGCGCACCCACCGCAGCAGACATTGTGGGGTGAACCAACGGAAAAAGGAAGACCTTTCTCTCTCTCTCTTTCTCACTGTCCACTCTGCCTGGCCCAACAAACATAAAAAATAGAGAAATGGACTTCAGGGCAACTGGTGCGGTAGAGTGATTTAAGCCAGTGCTATGGGGCCAGCATCCCACACTGGAGTGACAGTTCAAGATCTGGCTACACCACCCCTGATCCAGTTCCCTGGTAGTACACCTGATAAAGCAGCATAAGATGACTCAAGGACTAGGGCCCCAGCCTCTATTGTGGGAGCCCTGGATGGAGTTCCTGGCTTCTGGCTATTGCAGCCATTTGGGGAGTGAACCAGCAGATGGAAGATATCATCAGACTGCAAAATAAAAGAGATGTGCCTATTTGCTATTTCTAATATTTATAACACTCCAGACATTTATTACTCCTGAAAAATTCTCTTTCTGATGTTACTATACCTCTGAAAACTATCTCAAGTAGCTATGGATGGGCTTTCAAGTTTGACTTAACTAGTTTATATTCCCCAGGTAGTCATATGGCTCACTCGCTCTCTGCTAATCAACCCATTCCTCATGGCACATACCTGGTCTATAACCACAGCTTATTGTCCATAGAGTTAAAGTGTTCATTTTTAATGAACGGTGGCCTTACAAGTATATCGTATGTGTGATTGTCCTATATTTCCCATGAGACAAAATTATGTGAGTACACAAGCATATGTATACTTCTATTGTATCACTCATCAGCACCTGGAATGTAGAACAACAGCAACATACAATGCACTTTATAAAACTGAATTGAAGGTTCCTATAAACAGTAAGGCAAGGCCTTTCACCAAGTATGCCTTCCCCAAAAGACAGCAGAGTGGAGGCAGTCTGCTTGCACTTTGCACAAAATTCTTTCCTGCGGGGAATATGGAATGACCATACTGGTAGCTGATACTGATTGAGTGCTGTACTGAATCCTGGCATGCTGACCCAGCACTAAGTGGTTTCCATGCTATGGACAAACCTAAAACACACATTCTGAAGCTCTAAAACAACTTCCCACCCTTGTTGCTCAATCCAGCCTGCATGACAACTGAGTGGTCAGCCTGAATCTCTCTGCAAGTTCTGTAAGGAAGCAAAGCTCCTACCACCAGGAAAGAGACAAGTGAACATTAATGTGTTGGCATCTCCTCCTCAACATGTGCGTAGGCATCTCTTACTACCTAAAGCTGTATTTGATTGAATTCAACTGCTGTGCCTGGAATCAATCAAACATCCTCTTGATTAAGACCTCACAGAATTACAGCTTTTGTTTTTCTTTTGAATCTACAGGAACTACTGTGAAAAGTCCACAGACTATTGATTCTAAGTAATTCTAGGTCTGGTAGAAAAAAACCAAATGGTTCTTTGGGTAGGGAACAGAATGTTCAAATAGAAATTTTTCTTCTCCATGTTTGGTTTGGGAACATGACATCTGTTATCTGCTAGAAGCTGTAGACCATAATTACTGACTTCATTTGAGTTTGCATTAATTGTTTTAACCTTTATTATGTGGTACATTACCAAAACAAAACAAAACTATATATTTCAGCTCTACTGCAGAGGAAGGCACAAAAGGTCAATTTTTCAGATTTAACGGGCATTTGAAAATTTCTAAAGCATACATCTTGCCTAAAAATAGTGGTAAGCTTCATCTCTTGCTTTATTTTTAAGAAATGTTATATTGATGGGACTATTTCAGACAAATGACTTGAGAGAGACAAGAAATGCCAAATATTACAGCTTCTATGAGAGAGTTCATTGAGCTAGTTTAAGCTTTCTGTGCAAACACTGTGATACTTACAGCAATATGCTTAGTAAGAATATCACTAGGCTTCAGTTCTTCAAATTTCATTGATATTAGGCATAGTAATAACAGGATTCTTATATCACTTTGTAGTTTACCAACAGCCTTCAAACACTTAACATTCATTCTTCATGAGCAACCTTGGTGGATAAGTAAGGTCATTCTCCTTTTCCAGATAAGAAACTGAGGTCCACAGAGATTAAATGACATGTCATGTTGGGGTAAAGCAGTCAAGATGGAATATCAACTTCTGTTGCAGGAGTTCAATCCACTAAGCATGCGTTAAACATTTTACATTAGGACTCCCAGATTCCTGGCAACCTGCTTTCTCACTGGCAAATGGATTTCAGGGAGATTTAATAACCTGCTCAAGGTTACAAAGCTCATGAGGTCAGCACTGTGCCATTTAGTCTGCTCTCTCTGTTGTGACCCACGGTGTGTTCTAGTTAAGACATGCAAAACAAGGATTTAAAATCCAGGACCTCTAAGCCCAAGTGTTACTTCTTCCATGAAGTACTCTCTAACCATCGTGTTCACTAACCCATCACAACCATTTCATTATTTTAACACACAATACATATTTGTTCATCATCCTTTTAATTTCATGGTACTCTGAGCTCTTCAAAGGCTTGGACCATACCTTAAGTTTATAACTCTACTGATAAGAGCTTGTTTGAAAACTAACAGACACAATAAGAGCCTAGTGACTGAATACATGGATAAATCAAGTCTACTATTTTCTTATTTGCATGAGAACTATAGAATTTGCTGTGTAATTTTTTTAAGCTTTATTTATTTGAAAGATACAGCAACAGACAGAGTGGGAAAGACAGAGACAGAGACAGAGAGAGATCTTTCATCTGCTGAATCACTCCCCAAGTGGCTGCAAAAGCCAGGGCTGGGCCAGGCCAAAGTCAGGAGCCAGGAGCTCCAGTCAGGCCACCAAGAACTCTGTCCTGGTCTCCCACACGGGTGGCTGGAGGCCAAATACTTGGGACATCTTCTGCTGCCTTCCCAGGTGCATTATCAGGAAGCTAGATCCTAAGTGGAGAAGTGAGGATTTTAACTGACACTCTGCCGTTCCAAGTGGCAGCTAGTCCTGCTGCTCCACAACATCAGCCAGAAATATTGTGTATTTTTTTTTCAGACAATTAGACAATCAGACAAAAATGTCATTCTTGGCAAGAATGTTTTTAAAAACTATGGAAATAGAGAGACTATGAATATGATTAAGGCTGTTACTATGCAGCATATGCCCAACTGTGATAATACTGGGCTTCTTTAAAATTCATGTGCAAACTTTTAAGAGCTATGCAAAAGGAAGCTCCAGTTACATAAGAGTACATATTCTTCTATGCATGTAAAGGGCAGTCCAATTTCACATCCAACTCCAATTCTTTCTTCTGGCTGTTCCTCTTTCTTCATTTTCAATGCAAAGTGGTCCAAGAGATTCGCTGAAAAACCGCCCTTCTGCAGCAGTTGTGTCAACTTTGATGGGACACTATCTGTCTTTGTTCTCTCCTACCCTCTCTCCCTCCTCCCCTACCACTGGGCCTCTTGAATGTGCACAATGTTCAAATGTTTTTCCCTGTTGTCACCTTCCTCAGAGCTCTGTGGTAGGAGAAAGTGAATGAGGAGGGGCTTCCTAGCACAGGGCAGGGGTTCATTCTTTGGGTGGCACTTCTCCCACTTAATACAGTTCCAAAAGGTTGGACCAGGTTCCAAACTGCAGAGTCCGCTCATCCACATATGCAGGTCTCCATCAGACCTCCCTTTGTGTTATAAACAAGCACAAGTCAAATCCTAATGCAATACTGTTAGAATGCAGAAGTTTGCTAATCAAAATGAGTGACTCACCATTAGAGAAAACCAATAGTTACTGAAAGACTGATGAAGAGAGGGAAAAGGATGGTGTGGGGAAGCAGTGGAGTGAGAGAAGTGTGGCTGTCTTCTTGGGATTGTACCTATGGAATGCACAAATCTGTTGCCTTTATATTAATAAACTTTTTAAAATGAAAAAAAAAAAAAACCTGGCATTCTCTTCAAATTAAGTTAGTGGGAGCCTGACATTTAAGAAATACTTGAGGTCAGACATATCTTTCTACTTTAATAAACACAGAAAACTATATCAGTAGTTCTACTGGAATCTGAGACTGTCCACACCAAAAATACTATCAACAAAACCAACCTAGCCTAACTATTGACTGGTATCAACTCACTTGACCAAGGTAAAAGTAATTTACAGCATTCTAAAACACAGTGCTTGGAGGTCCCAACCATTGCAACTCTGAGTCAGCTCTAAAAGAGGAAATCACAAGTAATGAATCTCTAACAATGACTCTGCAAATCATTTGTCCCACGTAGGTCCTTGTCTCAGAATGCAGTCAGCAAACCATAGCCCTTTGGTCTTTAGGTACTTCTGACCCTTCCAACAACAAACAAAGTTTTTATTATATCTCTAGAAAATCTTTGAGCAACAGATCAAAGATTTTAGTCTTTTTTACAAAGACTAACACACTGGAAGTTTGTTGTTTTTTTTTTTTTTGAAGTGTTAACACTTCCTTAATGGATAGTACAGGAATTGCAAAACATTCTGGGGCTTAAAGTTAAGGCTTTAAGCAGATCATTTCTGGGATTCAGTTAGACCAAGCAAGGGAGAAGTTCCCAGTCACAAAGGTGTCGCAAAGCCAGCCTACCTAAAGACCTCAGCACAGGACAGGATACTGTCTCCCAAGAAGGAGAAGGGGGTAGTTGGCTCTCCCAGGAGCTTTGAAATCACATTCTTATTACCACAAGTAAAGCAAATATATAGCTTTCAGAGAAAAGTCTCAGATTTTTGTGGGATCACTTCACCTGTGTCAGGTGAAAATAAAACATACCAAACATACTGAATGTTCACCTTTTCAGAAAGGAAAGACACTATTCAGAAAGGAAGACACTATTCTCTAAATAAATGTGTATAGTAAGTATCAGGCTAATGAATTTAAAAGCTAAACTACCAATTGAAAAAGTCATACTCTTACCTGTTTTGATATTCATGGCAAAAAAATTCTGAGGGTTCCCACTTGTAATCCTGTATGTCAGTTTTTCATTGGAGCTGGAATCTGGATCTTCAGCTTGGATCTGAATGACAGATACATCCTTGGGAGAATTTTCCATGACAACAGGATAATAAATAGGTTCTGAGGTCAGTGGGGCATTGTCATTCACGTCTTCAACTTCAATGTAGACCTCAATGGTAGAATAGAGTGGAACCACGCCCCGGTCTGTGGCATACACTGTCAGCCAGTATGACCCCGTTGTCTCTCGATCAAGAATGTCTGCAGCAGTGATGACCCCTAAAAAAGGAAATAGAGAACATGAATGCTACAGCAAAATAAGGAGACATTAAGTAAAAAACCCCAAATTCCAGAGGGCCACACTAAATAGTCTTGGCATATAGGAAAAAAAAAATGATAAGATTAAATTAAAATGACTCTTGGCATAACAGAAATGATTTTATGCAGGGCCATATATATTAAATAGTTCTGTTTTTGAAGTATAATCACATTCACAAATACTTTATTTGAATTTTGGAGGCAGACATCACACACATGCATACACACAAAGGAGACAATATGGGGGAACAGAAAAAGAGTGGGCTGGGTGTCAAAACAGTTCCCATGCTACATGGGAAATTGTTGCAATATCAAATCAACACCTCCAAATGATCAGGTATTGAATTGATTTTCTTTGCAACAAAAAGCTGCTGTGGGGTAAATTATTTCATCTGTTTATTCACAAAGAGTGAGAAAGACTTTTTAAAGATCTTTTACCTGTAGGAAAAGAAAATATTTTGCCTGCAAGTATGTAAGCTTCTTTCACCCTACTTCTCTGCACATCAAGTATCAGTTACTGCACAATGAGATTTCCTGACTGGGCTCGGTCTTCCTCAGGAACTCCAGAGAGGACTCTAAGGAAAACTCTGAGGCTCTTTGGGAGGTGCTCATATCCAGTCATTTTAAAATAGGAGTGCAACAATGCCTGGTGTGTTCTCTCACACCTTTCCTATTTTACAGTTGAAACAAGTGCCAACCAGGAAATTAGATGTCTGCCAGAGAAGCCAAAGAGAAAATACAGTACTCTCATATATCTTCGTAGCTCTCACCCAAATCACCAGGCTGCAGAAATGTACGGTAGGGACAAGGTCAGAAACAATGTCCAAAGTGATGCCAAAACTCTTGGGATTCAGTTTATAAAAACACTAAAAGTAAACGGGGTGTGCATACTCATGGAGTGTGTGGAATTCATGTAAATCCCCACACCATAAAAGACATCACTGGAAATGGTCAACAAGCAGTTCTTGATTTTCGCCCTGATTCCTCTATCCTCAGTATTCCTGTTGAACTTCCGTCTAAATTAGGCACATAATTTGACCTATAATCCCTGTATAAGCAAAATGCCACATACAGCAGCTAAGACTTAGGAAGGCATCGAATCAAAAAAGATTGGAATATTCAAAGTTGCCTAAAACCCAGAATAGCTAAAATATTTGAAGGAATATAACCCAGTTGCTGTCAAAGTTTCAGCCCCAAAAGTTATTCACCAAAGAATGCAGCATAGGATATGCCATGTGCCAAAACACAACTTTAATTACCTTCCACAGAAATAGGTAAACACAGGAGCTACTGTAGAATCTTGGGTGATGCCTGCGAGGCAGAATAGAAATGCCCACATGAAATTAGATGAAGAGGCACCAGATAATAGAACAGGAAGGAAACAAGATGTGACTTATGACTATAAAGACAGTCATGTGTTTTCCTTGATTGAAAGAATAGTAACAGTGTTATCAATTGGGTTGAGTCAGAATAGAATGTCAACATGATGTTAAAGTACAAAAAGGATTCTGAAGGCTGGAGACCTGGGCAGGTGTGAGCACATATAAGTACAGGAACCAGGCCCAGTTTCATGGAGCATCCAGAGCGGTCAAGAACCACCCACCACACAGACAGGAAAGGTGCTGCCACCCAAGGGAGACAGAACTCTGCAAGTCAAAGAGTGGAGAAGTGACAGGGAATCAAGCAGTCTCTGGAATGCAAACATAGATCAGACAGAAATGAGCAGGGGTGGGGGATACAGGTTACAAAAGCAGATCTACAGACATTGAGTGAGACACATCCAGTATCTACTGGACTCTGTGCTGGACATGGAGGAAGAGAGATAAGCAAGAGTGTCTCTGTCCTCCATCCTCAAGAGACTCCCAATCCTTCCATGAAGGCAGATTTCTAATCAGAAGGTCTGTACTAATGAGGTGATATAGCAGAGCCAACAGCCAAGAGGACCGAGTTTTGCCTGACCTAGGATAAGGGCAAAGAATCTAGAACCAGAAGATGGTGGGAGGAAAGGAAAACAGCATCACTGAGGAGTCATAACATTCTAGGTTGCTTGTAACATGGCTTCCCTTTAATATAAACTTCATAATCTTTTATAGCTTAGGCCCCAAGTGGGTAATTTGCTCAGCTAACTGGAGAAGAACCCTAACTTCTCTGCCTCAATATCCCAGTTACAAATTTAGAATATATTACTCGCTACCTATTTGACCCTCAACAAGGGGTTCAATCAAAGCAAACCTAGTTTTCTTAGACATTTTTCAGTGTTGTAATGATCATTAAAAGCATGCAAAGAGTTTGGTAAAATTCTTGCCAAAGAATAGATGCCGAGTGCCTCAAAAGCAACATCACAAGATTTATAAATAGTAAGCACATTCCAAAACAGAGGAGAATCTTGAAAGGTGAGGAGTTTGTCATGGGCTGTCACATTGTTTTTTTTTTTTTTTTCCCCTTTTTCTTCTTTGGTCATATGGTATTCCTGTTTATTCTTTGTGATCTGCCCATGACGTAGGAGTCAGTTTTTCATTATTTTAACTAAGATACTAGATAGGAATTTCTTAGGAAGGAAAAAGTTTAGTATAATTTGAAGGTTCACAATTTCAAATGAAACAGCCTCAACTGTCCAGGCATCTGCTGAGGTAGAAGGAGTCAAGATGATTACATGGCAAACCAGGAAGCAGAAACGACATGGGGGGTGGGGGGTCTCGCATCACCTGCCTTCCATGTGGTCTCTCCATGTAATGCCAGAATGATATGAACATGAGGCATATCCAATCCAATCATTTCCCAAAGACACTCAATTATACTAACTCAATCATTATCACAAACCCATTAACTGTTAACAGAGTTTCAGTGTATGCCTGAGTCTGAGGAGACATATCATATTATATGACACTTTCATATAAAAGTACTTGGGCATTTGGAAGGGAACAGCAGAGTAAAATCACTAAAGAGGAAACATAACGCAATAAGTAACAAACTCAAAGAAACAGTTCTTGTTTGTCACCTTGCCTGCCTCACTTACTATACACATATTTGCACACTCACACAGGGGCAAGCACACACACACAGACTTACAGTCACAATATTGCTTTGTGATCCTTGGAAGTCATTTAACTCTTTTTCCTTCCATCTGTCAAACTGGAAGATGCTACATCACAAGCCTTGGAAATTGAATTATTTTGAGCAGTCCTTGGATGAAAGGCAAATTAAAATATAGTGGTGGGGTTTTACACTCTTTTAAATGAAAGATCAAACACATTCCTTAAAAATTGCAATTATTAAAATAAAGTACGTCTATGGCTATGTTTACTCAGTATCTAGAAGTGCAAATGAGTGTTCAGGCGTAAGATTCATGATCAAAAAATTTGAGGACAAAATGAAATGGATGAGTCTGAAATGTGTTAATTATTATAAGATTCACACAAGGCTCCATATTAACACCACCAACGTCCAGCATTATGATTTTCTTGCTTCCATCTACGCTTCCATAGCTAATCACACTGTATGTGGTTACAACTTGAAACATGACCTCTTCTGAGCAAAAATCACTGCTGAGGCTAGCCAGCAATTGTCAAAATCACACATCATGACGCCTAAGCTTTGTGACAACTGTCGCATTTTTCACTGCTTTTCAAATATTAATTATTTAACATATAAAAAACTGCAAACAATTTGGTAAATTTGGATATGCATCAAACCATCACCACAATCAAGATAACATATCTAGTATCCCCCAAAGTATCCTGCATTCCATTTTTATTTTTAAAAATTCACATTCATTTATTTTCATTTTATTTGAAAAGGAGGGAGGGAGACAGAAATAGAGAAGAAGGAGAGATACAACAATCTTCTATCCACTGCTTTGCTCCCCAAATGCCTAGAACGGCCAGGGCAAGGCCAAGCTGAAGCCAGGAACCTGGAACTCAGTATGGATTTCCCATATGGGTGGCAGGGACCAAAGTACTTGAACCATCATCTGCTCCCTAGGATACAGATTAGGAAGGAGCTGGATCAAAAGCAAAGGAGCCAGGACAGAAACTGAGCCATCTGATACGGGGTGTGGTCAAAGCAAGAGGCATGTTAACATTGTACCAAATACCTGCCCCATCTTTCTAAATATTTTAAAGATTTATTTACTTATTTGAAAGTTATAGTAAGATAAGGAGAGACAGAAATGAGAGAGAGAGAGACAGGAGAGAGAGAAAGAGACAAGAGGGAGAGAGAGAGAAAAAAAATTTTTTTTTTCATCTGCTGGTTCACTCCCCAAATGGCTGCAGTGGCCAAGCCAAAGCCAGAAGCTTCATCAGGGTTTCCAGTGTGGATGCAGAAGCCCAAGCACTTGGGTTGTGTGGGGAGCAACTTGGACTATACTGTTACTGGAATTAAGACTTATTCTATGCATCTGCTCTCCCACAATATGGTGCTGGGAGAGAAGAAAGCAGCTTCTACACAGCTGCCTCCAGTTCAGCCAATAAACTGTAGGACTTGCTCCTGATTGGAGGAGAGCAGCGTACTCGGCGTGTGGGCAGCCGAGTTGGGATTGGCAGAGGAGGACTATAAAGGAGGAGAGAGACGGCATGCACCAGGAACATCTAAGGGGAACATCTAAGGGGAACATCTAAGGGGAACACCTGTGCAGCCCCCGAGAGAGCCGGCCGGCGGTGTGCCGCTCCCCTGCGGAAGTGGGGAATGTGGCAGGGGGAACCGCCCTTCCACGGAGGTGGAAGGGACAGTAGCCAACCCGGGAAGAACCAGCAGCAAACCCGGGGAGGGCCGAGCAGACGAAAGAACAGCGCAGGGTCCTGTGTCGTTCCTCCACGAAGATGGGGAGCGACATAATGGTGCCATGACTCGGATAGGAAACTTAGGAGGGAAGAAACGGGAAGAAATGGGAAAATATCGGAGAGAGAGACTAGCAAACAGCCTAGGGAAAAGCCGGACGAAAAAGGTGCCGGAAGAAGCTATTG